CTATAATATTCTCACTTTAAAAATCGTGATTACCTACTGCCTATTTGCACTAAATACACCTAAGTAGAATATTTGATGGGTACTTCACATTATTCTGATGCCGAGCGTAGCCCAAGTACCAAACAACGCTAGAAATGTGGGAACACATTCCTAAAGTTCTAGCACCAACTTTACATGTGCAGTATGTGCCCAATATTGGATCCCCTCCATCTGGCCCAGGGGGAAGCAAAAATGACACAAAAAGAAAATTTTTCGTCACTTGTGTGAACCGCGAAAATATTTTCGCTCTTATCCTCACCGTGTATTGTATTCTGAATGTATGCAGGAGATAATTTCACTTGATATGTTCCGAAAGTCTTAGTTCTTAAATACTCAACAGTAAGAATAGCAAAATTGATATCATTTTCATGTAAATCGACCCAAGGCCCACCACCCCGTCTAAGCTGAAGGTTTTCCCTTCGAATCCTTTCACGAAGTGCATTATCAACATTTTGCACCGCACCAGTTCCAACATTCTGTGTGCTAATTCATCACTTTCGTCCTGCATATGAATCGGTTGACGGTATGCATTTATCAGAGCGCAAGCTATTTTTAAAAAATCTGATAAGTTATAACAACTTTGCATAGCAATTAAATCCCTGAAAAATTTGAACAAAGATTTTAAATGTCCATTTCTTGACTCCATAATCCAACGTGTCTTTGTAATCTTACAAGCATTATTTGCTTCTTCAGTTGTAAATTGTTGACGATTTTTGGCCAAAAAAGGCGGTATTTCACAGTGGAGGTTCAGTGTTTGAAGAAACTCTACAACATCTCTATATCCCCTATAAACAACGAATATATCCTCGTCCTGTATCCATTGTCTTATATTTTGAATGTCTTGTTCCATTTCATTATGCAGTATGGCCGCGTCATTGTTCCTAACATCCGAAAAGTAAGAACCGTGAACGTCAAATATAAAGCCGTCGGGAGCTACGATTAGGCCTGCTTTAAATAAAGTATATCTTTTATGAGGTGAAAATGAATGCCTTTGGATTTGAAAGTGACTACTTTTTGGTGCTTTGAGGTAGGTGCAATCCGGATAGAGAATTGCTTGAGGTTGTTGGGAGTATTGGGTTATACAAAATGTTTGAAAATGGAGTAATATGGCGCTAAATGAATATTGCAACATGGTGTGTGTTATTAGGTATAAAAATATTAGTTTTGGCAAAAAAGTCAACACGAGCCTCCAAAGACAGTCTAGTTCTAACTTCATTGTTACAAACAAAACAACCTTGGCTTCCTGCCAACACGTCCATAGGAATCGCTTGAGGGTTTTCTCATTTCTGCTAACTCAATAGATCGATCTACACGTTGCAAACAATTAAAACAACCTTTGCTATTTGAACTGATCTCTTGATGTGGAAGGTTATACCTCTCTCTAAAAGGAGAAGATATTTCTCTTCGTTCTGGGATATTTTCAGTTAAAATGGCTCTAAATCTATGCCCAATAGCGTTGCAAATGTAACATCTAACCATGATCCTAAAATAAAAACTAAATTTGATTTCCTGTTTTTCCCTTATGTATCCAATTAGTACCTACTTAGTTACGATGTTCGATTAACACTGACGAAGTAAAAATGTCACTGCTTAAAATTAAATAAAGTCTGTTTTTTTTTTTTAAAGATAATTCCCCAAGTCAAAAATTTAGTAACTAAAGTGCGTTTTTTTTTTTAAAGATAAAAGTCAAAATGACATTATGTTGGCAATATAATGTAAAATTGTCAATGCTTTCAAATTTTTCATGTAGAAAAGGCTTGTGTTGCCAACATAGTTACTAAATTTTTGACTTGGGGAATTATCTTTAAAAAAAAAACGCACTTTATGTTGGCAACACAAGCCTTTTCTACCTAAAAATTTGAAAGCATTGACAATTTTACATTATTTTGCCAACATAATGTCATTTTGACTTTTATCTTTAAAAAAAAACACACTTTATATTTTTTAAAAATAGTATATTGTTGTATTAGGAGTAGAAGCTTTACTTTTCTGTGCTGAAGCAGTAGGTTTGCGAGCCGAACGTAGTGAGGCTTGCAATACTGCTGAAGCACAAAAAAGTGCTTCTACTCCGTATGCAACACGCTATTTTTTCTCCAAACTAATGAGGTAAGCTCGGGGGCAAGTGGATGGTTGAGCGGCAGTAAGGGCCATATTCTCCGTAGTTCATAAAGCCTGGCTTAGTGGAAAAGCTCGGCTTTGTCACACAAAAAGCCAAGCGTTTCCACTAAGCCAGGCTTTATGAACTACGGAGAATATGACCCTTAAAGTACGAGCGGCACTAAAAGTACTTTTGCTGTCGCTGGGGTTGCCAAGCAGCATAGAAATTAAATTTCTGACATCTTGACAGGGGTCAACAAAGTGACGTTTTTTTGACGTTTGGAGAAAAAATAAGTTTTTCACAAAATGTACTGTGGCCCAACAACAAAACTCAGTTTGTGACAATAGAACCTAACATAACCCCAATAATTCACTTAATACGTAAACAAACGAAATTCAGATAAAAGCTGCCCTAATTTCATTCACGGATTTCCTAACATTTCGTAGTATTTAAAATGGCAAGAAACGCAGAAAAGGCGATGACAACACTCGCAAGATGGCGAGCAGCACAAGCAGGGGAAATTGATAAATCGAAGAGAAGAAGACCTTATCTAGCCTCGGATTGCAAAAGCTTGTATGCATGCGAGAAATGGCGTATGCACATTATCAGAGAAATAGCTAAAAAAGTCGCTCAGATTCAAAACGCTGGTTTAGGTGAATTTAGAATAAGGGATTTGAACGACGAAATTAACAAATTGCTCAGGGAGAAACGGCACTGGGAAGACCAGCTAAAAGAACTTGGCGGCCCTGATTATCAGAAAATCGGCCCTCGAATGTTGGATCATGAAGGAAAGGAAGTACCAGGAAATAGAGGATACAAATATTTTGGAGCAGCAAAAGAGCTGCCTGGTGTAAGAGAGCTTTTTGAACAAGAACCACCACCCCCTCCTAGAAAGACCCGCACAGAACTAATGAAAGATATTGATGCAGATTATTATGGGCATATGGATGATGATGATGGTATTTTGATACCACTTGAGATGCAAGCTGAAAAAATTGCTGTCCAAAAAGCAGTAACAGAATGGAAGGCAAAGAAAGAAGCTAGAAAGGCTTCGGATGAAGAGGATCAAGAAGTAAGTGTATATGCAGTTGATGAGGATGGAGAGAAAGATGACATACTAGAAGATCCAAGTCAGCAACTTCTTGATGGGTTACAACAAAGATTTGTGGCTCACGTACCAGTTCCGTCACAACAAGACGTCGAACAAGCCTTGCTGAGGAGAAGAAAACAAGAATTGATGGAAAAGTATGGAGTATTAGACAAAACAATAAATAAATAACACTAAGATTGGACACTTGTTAAATTATAATTATCTATGTACACATCAATTATTTTTACGTAATAAATTAAATAGTTGAAGTATGCAGCTCAAGGCACCTGCCTTTGTTTCAAAAATCTGTCACCGTTCATAGCCTTCCTTTATTTTTTTAGGTAGTAACTACTACTCCGTGAGCACGGACGAGTTGTATTAAATTGTTTTTCTCCAAACGTCAAAAAAACTTCACTTTGTTGACCCCTGTCAAGATGTCAGAAATTTAATTTCTATGCTGCTAGGCAAATCTAGCGGGTTAACACCTGTCGAGGTGGTAAAAATTTAATTTCTATGCTGCTTGGCAACCCCAGCGGCAGCAAAAGTACTTTTAGTGCCGCTCGTACTTTTACTGCCGCTCAACCATTCCTTTGCCCCCGAGCTTACCCCATTAGTTTGAAGAAAAAATAGCGTGTTGCATACGGAGTAGAAGCACTTTTTTGTGCTTCAGCAGTATTGCAAGCCTCACTACGTTCGGCTCGCAAACCTACTGCTTCAGCACAAAAAAGTGAACCTTCTACTCCTAATACAACAATATACTATTCTTTTACACATGTTTTTCAAATTCCGAGGTGGTCCAGTGGCATAGTATTTGGACTCCTACCCTCCCAATGCGGGTTCCAGTTCCGGCCTAGACTACATTTAATTACTCTCAACATTAGTAATTACCCTTTTGGGTCCTGTTTTTAATTTTTAACCGGGTTTGAAGTTCGTAAGATTCCACAATCAAATAAAAAGTTATACTTTTATTACTTTCCGCCATCACGAATTTTATTTTCATTTGTAGTTTTTTTAGACTTCATGACATGCCTGTGATATAGGCTTTATTTTAAGACCACATTTTTTCAAATCGAACAAAAAATAAAAAAGTTACGGCAAATAAAATCCAGCGCGACCTTTTTGTCAACACAATTTCTAAGAATAGGGCAGGATTTCTAAAAGAATACTCAACTTAAGCTACCCTGTATAGTATATTAGGCTTATTTAGACCATTTATTTGCGAAATCGAAAACAAAAATCCCGATATGTGCTTGCAGGGCGCGCCAACATCGATAATTGAAAGGCTTGTTTTATGATTATTGCACCCACTTTACTAGGTCACCCTGTATAGTTAGAGATTTGGTGCAATGCTGAAAAATGCTTATTTTTGCTAGTACTACAACATACCAAATTTTTAAAAAAATTGACCTGTCCCCAAAAACCCATAAGATGTGTGCGATGTCCTTTATCTTTTGATAATAATATACCTACACTTTTTTTGTGAGAATTTAGGTTTAAGCAACTCTTATAGGTATATTATATTACTATGGTTTATTTATTTATTGTAAAATGGCATGTCCGTAAATAAAATTCTTTTCTATTCTATTCTACTTATTCTACATATTTTTCGGAAGTGGGCGCCCCCTTGATTATAGAAGATTAAAAAAAGAAAATGAGATATTCGTTCAGCTCTTTCGTACCTACTACCTTCAATAATTTTTGATATTCCTGTTTCCAGTTAATCTCAATCAGTAGTTTTACAAAATAAAATTTTAAGTAATTTCTTTTCTTTAGTATCTCAACAATGACCCTATCACGAATAAAACCCTCTCGCAAACTGTGGTTCAATTTTTGCAATTCCAAGAGGATTTTTTGGGGAAGAAATCTCAAAAACCACCCATGACTAGGATACCGGTAAGTTCAGATACACCTATCAAATTTTAAAACTGCACCATTTTTTAGATTAGAAAAAAAGAACTTTTTTTACATTGAGTCCTATTTCAGGTTAAATACTTTCTTGATTTGAAACCTGGCGGTGCTCTATGTCAAATGTTAAATGCTGCCTATAAATTCAAAACTGACCATGGTTGGCGTCGTTTTGAAATTCCTTTGGGAAAGGTAAGGGTAATAGTAATCTTAGTGCTTGTGAACTGTTTTAATTATTGATTTTTATAGAATACATCTAAAACAGATAAAGTTTATGAAATGTTTCAAGCAATGGAAAAAGCCTTGGTACAAAACAAACTCTACACTGTGCCAATAATTTATGTAGACCAAAATGTTGATAAAGCAGTTTCACAAAAAATCAAAGATATAATAAGGAAAAGAAATGGGCAAGTTGTAGAAACAGAAGAAAATGCTACTCATATTTTATTTAATCATGTAGATGGTCCTGTGGAGGAGTATGGAAGACCAGTAGTAAAACGAGATAAAATGGTGCTGATGCATTGGTATTATTTTCCAGATTCATTTGATACGTGGGTCAATTTAGAGTCAGTTGGGTTAGACGGTATGTCTTTGGACAGTCCTAGTCCAAAAACAGAACCTTGGAAGGTAACTTATTCTTGGGTATTTGATACCGATCAGTACAATGAGTGGATGTCAGAAGAAGATTATGAAGTTGATGATACAGGAAGAAAAAAGGTGCATCCAAGATTAATGTCAGTGGAGGACCTAATGAATCCGTCAGATGATAGAAAAAAGAAAAAGGGTGATGCAAAAAGAAAAAGATCACCGTCGCCTACAACAAAAGTAAAAAGAAAAAGTGGCAGAACTGCAGCTATGCAAGGCAAAAAAAGCAATAGAGAGGACGAAGAAGATCTCACAAAAGATATGGAAGACCCAGTTCCAGAACCGAATATTATCGAAGTAAATCCTTCATCATCTAATGGCCAGACAGCCAACAAAAAAGACCACGAATTGCAACCACTAAAAGGAGGAGCGATAACAGAATTAGACGAACCAGAAGACAAAACTGAGGAAAATTCACAATCACAATCTGAAAAAGCAACAGAGGCTAGCACTACACAGGATGATGGACAAGAAGATAATGTTACTGAACAAACCCATCATATAATTATACCGTCATATTCAGCTTGGTTTGACTACAATTCTATACATGAGATTGAAAAAAGGGCTATGCCTGAGTTCTTTAATGGCAAAAATAAATCTAAGACTCCGGAAATTTATCTTGCATACAGGTGAGTAACATTTACAAATCAGAATTGTTTATTAACGTTTTTTTTTTCATCAAAATATTTTCCATAGGCAAAATTCATAGTTCACGTGTACAATTCACTGCATCTTTAATTATTTTTTCTTCCTTTGTGGGGTGTTTTTCAGGTTCAAATTTTTTAAGTCACATGGTAGAACCCTAAAACTTTTTAAAAGCAACATTTGGAAGGATTATCAAGTTAAATGAGTTTAATGAATTGAGATGATTTTTTGGCATGAATCATTTCAAAATTTTACATAAAGTTGAACATATTGACATTTTTGTACTATTGGGAATTAAAATTGAAATCAGTCCAACAAACTCTCCTAAAAGTGGAAGAATGAAGACATGTAGGATGATACTCAATAAAGAAAAATGTACTGCTCTTTGTAAACCTATAGGTACTAATATTCCAGAGTTGCCAGAAACTTCTAACACTTTCCTGTGAAATCATTTGAAAAGCATTTTATTGTTATACAACTAAAACTCTTCGAGCACTGGAGCAGTGCCAAAGAGATTAACAGATTCCAACCAGAAATTTAGTGCCAGTCTTTCCATAATGTTTCTTCAGCTGGATTGTACTACAAATTTTATTTTTGAATTCCTAGAAAATTTCATGGTTTTCAGAGCCTTATGTGATAAAAACTAAATAAAAACGCTCTATTCCCCTTCTTTGCGAATTTCCTCTACTTTCAAACTGATTTCAATTGTTTTCTTTTCAGAAATTTAATCATAGATACCTACAGACTCAATCCTACAGAATACATAACAAGCACAGCATGCAGAAGAAATTTAGCAGGAGACGTTTGCGCTATAATGAGGGTTCACGCTTTTGTCGAACAATGGGGCTTAATCAACTATCAAGTAGATGCTGATTCTAGGCCATCAGCCCTAGGACCACCACCTACTTCTCATTTTCATATACTCTCGGACACTCCTTCAGGTTTACAGCCAGTAAATCCTCCGAAGACTCCCCAACCAAGTGCAGCTAAAGCCCTATTGGATTTGGATAGGCCACAAGAAACTAAGAAAGTTGAGGGAGCCGAACCACTGGCCAGTTTCGGTCTCAAATTGGACCAGTATTCCAAAAAACCTGCCTTACTTAGAAATAAAACTGCGGCATCTTTAACTAGGGATTGGACAGAACAAGAAACACTTCTTTTACTGGAAGGCAAGTTTAAAACTATACTATAACCACTAATAATTGCCAATGTATTCTCTTATGTAGGTCTTGAAATGTATAAAGATGACTGGAATAAAGTATGTGAGCATGTAGGATCCAGAACTCAAGATGAATGTATTCTACATTTTCTCAGATTACCAATTGAAGATCCTTATTTAGAAGATCCAGAAGCTGGCGGTGCCTTGGGTGCTCTAGCTTACCAACCAATGCCGTTTAGTAAAGCTGGAAATCCAATCATGTCTACTGTAGCCTTTTTGGCTTCTATTGTAGACCCCAGGGTGGCTGCAGCTGCTGCCAAATCCGCAATGCATGAATTTGCTAGCATTAAAGATGAAGTTCCAGCTGCTGTAATGGATGCTCATTTAAAAAGTGTAGAGGCTTCTTCGGCTTCAGGAAAGTATGATCCAGCTGCCAATTTGGCTTTGACAGGAATTGCTGGAACTGCTCCAGAGAAAGAAGAAGAAGCAACGAAAAAGGAAAAAGATGATGAAGCAACCACTGAACCTAAAGAAGAAAAACCTGAAATTGTGGCGAAAACTGATCCAGAAGATCAGGAAATTCCAGCACCACCTTCTAACGAGCTCAAAGTTAAAGACAGCGAAATGCAAAGCGCAGCTGCTGCAGCTTTGGCAGCCGCAGCAGTAAAAGCCAAGCACCTGGCGGCAGTAGAAGAAAGAAAAATCAAGTCACTAGTAGCCTTGCTGGTGGAAACTCAAATGAAAAAGTTGGAAATTAAATTACGTCACTTTGAAGAACTGGAAACTACTATGGAAAGGGAGCGTGAAGGTCTCGAATATCAAAGGCAACAATTGATAACTGAGAGGCAACAATTTCATTTGGAACAGTTGAAGGCTGCAGAATTTAGAGCCAGGCAACAAGCACATCAAAGGTGAGAACTTATTTTTTAGTATGTATCAATATTTTTCAATTTGAGTTTTTGGTAATGTAGAATCGTAGAATACATATTCTGATTTCATGCATTTCAGGTTGCAATCTGAACAAGGCCAATGGCCACAACAGCATCCATCTTCAGCTGGATCTAACTCTAGTGACACAGGACCAAGTACAACTCCTACCCCTCCGTCACCACAAGCTACCCCACATCATCAGACTGGGTAAGATTTTTCAATCAAAAGTTGTTTTCATTGCACTAATTCACATATTTTGTAATTAGGGATGGACAAGATAGCGAATGAGTAGTTGAGATGTGGATGAAACCTTCAAAAGTATTTTGGATTGTGGAAATTTCTTTAATTTTATTAGTTAATTTAATAATTGGACCTATTCAAATTTAATAACTGTAATGATTGATGAAATGTCATGTTCTTAGTGGGACTGAAAATTACTTTTTTATGATATACTTCTATGGATAAGAAAGCAAGTAAGGAATTCAGATGTAGATGAAATCTTCAAAGATATTGTGGAAATTTGCTAATTTAGCGTAATTAGTTTTTATAGTTTAATTTAATTATTTAATATTAATGAGATGTAATAATTTTTATCTGTAACTGGAAGGTATAGTATGCAGTGTTTTTGAGACTGCAAATAAGTTTTTATAGATGAATATTAATAGTAGGCACCTTTAACTGACATAGTGCGATGTGGGGCTTTGATAGTAATAACATGATTGTAATGATTATATGATTTTAAACTAGTTTTTTCTCAGTTTTATTTCGAAAGGTACATTCCATTCATAACATTAGAAATTGAGTCTACAATACAAACGCTTTCTATATACCACGTAGGTATATACTTGAATTGAATTGGTGAGGATCCTTTCCAATTAGGGAACCATTGAAAAACATAAAAATCCTTGTGGGAAAAATACACTCATAAACTGACATCGAAAGACAAGAGTTTTAGGCAGATGGGAAAAACTTAGTAGCAAGAAAACAAGTTAGTTAATATTGTAACGAAGTTTACGTGCGCCTCCGTCAGGGTGCACAGAATCAAATGGCTGAATTCTAGATTTTACAGTGCCATTCTGGAAAAAAAAGCTAATGCGTTTATTTAACAAGAATGGATTACGGATATATAAAGGCCGGTATTAGTTAATAGTATTTAGTTTAAGATTAGCTGTGATATGATTTAGATAGTGAACATTGTAAAGTTGTAAAGAGTTAAGTTGTTTGAGTTAATTAGTGTTGTGTATAGTAACGTAGAATAAATTATTATTGTGTTAATTGGACTTCGATTTTGGAATAAACGGATCCAAGATTTCTGTCACGCACCCCAGAGCAGTGACATGGTGTCAGAAGTGAGATATAATTCGAGGACTGCAAGGTGAAATCCGATGGCAGAATAGTGCGGACACTAGTGAGTAGTGTGGATACTAAGTGAACACTGGGACAGTTAGTCAGTGTAAGCAATGACAATCTCCAGACTTCACCGATTGTGTAAATTACCCCGGAAGTGACTGTATACCTGATTTTGACTCTGATAGTGAATCTTCGAACTTCAAGCAAAGACCATGAAAAACAAGAAGAAGCTAAACGACTGCTAGAAAAACGGGACGAAAAGGCCAGGCGACAAAGAGAAAAACAACAAGAAGAGGCTAGGCGACAAAAAGAACGGCAAGACGACCTTGAACAACTTCAGAAAATATTTCAAACCATACAAGGATCTGTCACTAACCTAGAACAAAAGATTAAGGAAGTGAAAGCCAGAGTTAAAAAAGATTTTCAAGAAGTTAAAGACGATGGTCAGCACCAAGTTCAAACACTTGACGATAAGGTGAATAAATTAGAAATACAGTCCGTCAATCCAAGTAGTCTTGGAGCTTGGAGCATTCTCTAGTGTGAAGATAAAACCACCAACTTTTGACCCTTCTACGTCCTGGACCATGTATATATGATAATTTGAAGCTGCTGCAAACACCAACGGATGGAAAGATCAAGAAAAAGCTACAGCACTGATAGTGGCGCTACGAGGACCTGCCTTAGATCTTCTCCATTCAATTCTTCCAATGCACCAACAGAATTATCAGCATCTAAGTCACACGTTAAAATTGCGCTTCGGAGACCATTACAGGCAAGAAGTATTTAGAACTCAAGCTAAATCAAGAATTCAAATTCCCAGCGAGAGTTTACAAGAATTCTAATCGGAATTTAAAAGGGTCGTGAGTATGGCGTTTCCTGCAGCTGGGGAAGACATGCAGGAATGGCTGGCAGTATCTGCGTTCATTGATGGTCCCAGAGATTCCAAGATCCAGGAAAACCTGAGAATGTCTAAGTTCAGACAAAGTAGCGAAGCCCTTGTCCGAGCATTCGAACTGGAAGCAATCTTTGGTGCCTCAGAACCCAGAATAGGAGCAGTGCAGTGCCCATTGAAGACCCAAAGGATAAACAATCGACAAAAGAGGAGGGTAGTTTCGAGAACGTTATGAGTAATTTCATGGAGGAAATGAAGAGACTACTACTAGAAGGTAGAAAAACCGGAAATGGAATCGTTTCCCCGACCGACAAACACCAACACCGAGAAACCGAGTAGAATGTTACCGGTGCCATAAGCTTGAACATATTCAACGAGATTGTAGAGTAGGATGCCCTCTCCATTTAGGGATCGTTCCCAACGCTTTTCGAAATCTAGAGACGCCAGCCCTAATAACAGACAGGGAAACGGGAACTAACCAGTATGGAGGGATGGATGTTGGTTAGTAATGACGAAGCCCCCAGGGATGTTTACATAAAATAATTGGGAAGTCACTATAGAGGATTAAAATTCGAAGGACAAATTAATGGAGAATTTAAAACCATCACTTTTGATACGGGTGCTGAAGTATCTATAATTAGAAAAACATTAGTCAAGTCTCGGGCAATCCAACCGCTCACTAGAAACCTGTCACTACGAACAGTCACGGATGAATCGGCACTAGTTGATAGAGAAGTTGTTGCTCACTTTTGGGTCTACCACCTTTAGGCACAGAACAATTAAGTCGCCGATATAGAAGATGATTTTATTTTGGGAATGGATTTGATCGGCCAACATGGTTTCTCTTTCGATGCTCCTTTGAACATCCTCAAATTTGGTAATGAAGAATTTGTCCTCACTACACAAGAAAAATCTCAAGCCATTGAGATCCTGGCCACAAACCCGGTGAGGATTCCTGGAAGTACTGAGAAGATCATTTGCGGAAAATTGGAAACAAAGCCTGGGTGTAGTGTTACGTTGGACTAAGACATAATTTTATTGGAGATCAAACAGAAAAATTTCTCGTTGGAAAGACTCTATAGTAGGAACAAATGGAGATATTATGATAAGAATTGCCAATGCTTCTTCTGAAACAGTAAAAATAGAGGAAGGAGATATTATTGGAACTCTTGAACCAGTTAAGCAAATATCGAACTGTGACCTATTTATCAGATAAGCGACATTTTGTCAAATCGAAATTGGATACAGACACCTTGATGCAGACTTTGCGGAGAAATCATGGAAACATCTCGATCCAGTCAGTGGCGGATCCAGGGGGGGAGCAAGTGCCCCCCCCCACCCGAGAATTTTTCATGCTATGAAAAAATCTCTAGAAAGTGTCTTTCGCACACATTAAAAATATATTCTTTTGGATAGTAACATTTCCTCTCAGGCTTTTAAGATTATGTATTTCAACTGATTGGGTGATTCTGAATTCTGTCTGCCTTTCGGTTGTGATTTGATGGCGGCTATTGATTTTGGTGATTGATGCAGTATAGAATTGTAAATTTTGATATGTATTTTCTTAGAATAAGTCTGTGATACTATATTTCTTCGCAATAAACAGGCACGGGGTAATTTTTTATATTTTTCCACTCCCTTAACTTTTTTGTGCTACTGTATATAGAAAAAATGTGAATAGGAAAGGCGTATAGTTCGAAAAATAGTTCTCATAAATTTTACATTTTACATTTTCATACAGGGTGTTGCAATTTGAAAAATATTTTATTTTTTAATGGGACATTCTGTATATTATTCAATATTCGGATTCTGAGCAGATTTCATGGGATACACTTTACCTAAGTTCAACTGTTTTGCAAATATTGACTATTATTGACAGATGAAATTTGACTTTTTTGCAACTTTGATGTACCTACTGATGTAAAATCGGTTTTGCTGGGTTTTGCTGTAAAATTAACCATTTAGGTTAGCTTGTCAAAGTTGCAAAAAAGTCAAATTTCAACTGTCAATATTTCCAAAACAGTTGAACTTAGGTATAGTGTATAGTGTTATATCACATGAAATCTGCTCAGAATTTTACGTAAAATGCGAATATTCAAATGCTGACGTGTGACGCTATGTCTAGACGGCCATGTAAAGAAGATTGCAAGCATTGTCAAGCAATCGATACGCCTGAGAAAAACACTGATCCAGCTGTGAGAAGAATGGGTCTTATCGTTTATGATAAACGGACTACCAAACAAATGAGAGAAGATCAAGAGGCAGACCAGGACAATGATGAATGTAGGCCAGGATGGAGGGAAGTGTCAAACAATAGTTTGATTCAAACGATCGAGAGTAGAAGATGTATTAAAAGAAATACATGACGAAATTTCAGGGGCACATTTTGGAGTTAACAAAATTCGAGGACGTTTCTACTATGTCCACTATCATGAAGACGTTAAAAACTGGTGCCGAAAATTCGACATCTGTGCTCCCATTTGAATAGCGATAGATGTAGCTAGACCGTTCCCTGAGTCAGAGCGTGGTAACAAATACTTCTTGGTTATCATTAGTATAGTGACTTGTCGCCGAAAAATAGCTTGATACTTCGGTTTTTGAGTAAAAGCAAATCCTTTTCACAAGTGAAAGAACATGTCAGAATTAGTAGATTTTTGAACAGACCCATCTCAAAAAGTCATGCCGACCCCCCCTCCACGCCCCTCAAACTTGATAAGTGGATTGTATTAGTTATTATTATTTTTCTCAAAAACGGTAAAAGATAGAAACGTCATTTTAGTGCCATTCGATAGAACACAAAATTCTGCATAATGACTATGACCTTATTTTGTTTATGTTTTCAAAGTAAGGCCCCACGTGTACAAAAATGTGGTGGGGGGTAATCACAAAGACACGTGTTGATTAATATCATTAAAACCGCTTGAAAACAAAAAAAAATAGAAGATACAAAAATTTAAGAATAAAGTTTTCTCTATCGATTCTCTATATATTGTTTTTTCTTATCTTTCAAAATAAAGCCACCAGTGGCGTACAAAAAAGTAGTGGAGTAAATAAGCTGCATTGTTTATGTTTCAAAGTTGACAGTTTCTAAATCTATCTTAGGAAAAAACATAGTGTAAGTAAATTTTTTAACAACTCAAAACGTCTTCACAGAAAAGCTAGTGTAACATCTTACGTGTTTACACGTTAAATTGCAATATTCTGCACACAAGCACAGCCTAGCGCATTTTAAATTTTTCAAAAAGCACTTACATTTTGGGCCACAAGTTTTGCATTTAAACACAAAACATCCCCCCCATCCAAGCTTTTTGCACATTTAGCTTCTAATTTTTCTAGCATTCGACTGCAAGTTTTAGTGATTAGTAGTCTTTTATAGTAGTAGTCCTACTTGGGTTAGGATGTTTTAAAATTCAAATACCTACTCCCAACTGGGTGGTTATTCATTCAACAATAAATTCTCGAAGAAAATGTCTTGTTCACACTCTATAATTGTTATAAGCCTTCTCGACACTGAGGCTATTTAGCAAAGGATTGCGAACTTTTATTAGCCATTGTTTCATTTTTTCGGCATCTTTTGGAAACCGGAAACAGCTGCTGTATTTGTCGCCGCACCCCGGAACACAGCATTTCTGATGCTTTTCAATTAACAAACTGAGAGAAAACCTTTTTAGATAATAATTATTGATAATTGATAGGTAATTGATAATTCTAAATGTTGGGAGAAGTTCAAAATTTAAATTTTGACGACTGGAAATGACAAAATAAACTTCAAATCTTGGCGCACGGTCCGGCAGGAAAAAGAAAACTTCAATAGGTCGATTGAAGCGCCTCTAGTGATTGGAGGGGAAAGCTGAAACGACTAGACTGACGTCTCTCATAAGACTTACATTTCTAAAATGGGCGTTTGTACCAACCATGTTAAGGGAGGTTTAACGATAATCAACGTTTATTGTGACATTTTTTCATGTGAAAATGTCACTCTAAACGGGGATTATTGTTAAACCTCCCTTAAAATTGTCGGTGCAAACGGCCATAAGGGGCATTTAAATTTCAATAAAATGTCGGATGATATTTTTTCATTTTTCGTAGTGTTTCATAGTGGCGCCCATTTATTGTTTTCATGAGTCCATTCCCATTTAGATAGGCATGGAAGTTCTACCATAGTTGGCACAAATTACCCCTGCTTGAAAAGTACATCGCATGATATGCTGTTTCAACGCATTTATTGTTGGGAGTAAATTCTCAACGGTACGGTTTTTTTGAGCAAAAAGGTGCATTTGACAAACATCAATATCGTTTGTTTCAAAATGTTCCTACATTATGATAACGAATTTTTAAATTGAATTGACCTTTTGTTTTGACGCCATATTGCGGTGCGCGAACATAGTTGCCAAAACAAGAAAACCAAAAATTACTAGCGGGCTGTCAACTAGATATTTTATTATTTCTATTCTGCCCAATACAAGCTAAAATTGATGGCTTTTCTTTTCAAAAACATTCGTAATAGGCGGCAAATTTAAATTTTAAATGTAATTTATTCACTAACTTTGGATTTTAAAGTTGACAGAACCCTAGTATTTTTTTTTTCTACTGTTGGTAACTATGTTCGCGCACCGCAATATGGCGTCGAAACAAAAGGTCAATTGTTCTGATGTAAGTTCTATTGGATGCAGCACTTAGGCCCGTCGCCATGGAGCTACCCATAAAAGACGAAACTGAGTAGAGACGTCAGTTACAAATTAGTTGGATACTCAATTCTCGTACACGAGGGGACGGAACGAGGATCGAAAATAAACGCTTTGTTCAGAGTAGTGCAAGCTTGGAGACATTTCGTTTTAACTCATTTTACCACACAAATTCCGAAAAAAGTCTCCAACAAATCCTCGCGCGACCAACAGTTCGAGTCTGTTGGCGATTTATCACTAACCAGTAGCGTACGGGTCGGCGATCAGGAGCGCCGTGTACGACATTCGATTTGAATACACATGCCATGGACTTGCAAAAGACTGTTAAGTGATTATAGTTTAATTTCAGTTTCTTAGCAGAAGCTCCGTGTGCGACGGGCCTCAACCAATGAACGTAGGTATAACCTCGAAGTTAGGGACCTAAGGTATATTTCTTGTATGAAAGATGGAAGTTGCTAATAAAAATAAAATTAATTAGCGATAAACATTCTGAAAGCAACGATATTAACGTTTGTCGAATGCAACTTTTTGCTCAAAAAAACTGAACTGTTAAGAATTTACCCCCAACAATTAGGCAATCTCAATCACGTGATTTTTTAATGGCCGTTCAGGTCAAATACCCACATAGCATTCAATATATTCTGTATATACCTTAAAAGTCCATGATGTGTAAAATATATCGCCAACATGTTTTCTATATACACTGTATATCCTAAATTAACATCCTCTTACAAGTCTGCGAATGTATATGAAATGTATGTTCGATGTGGACATTATATGCTTTCCGTCAAATAAATGTTTATTTGGTATATACATAGTATATACATAATGAACTTTGAACATTTTGCTAAAATTTACTTTCGCATGAGGGCGCTGTTGTATTACAGTGCTGCCAGACTCAACTGTTCTTCCCTTCAATTCAGATTTCGCAATAAGTTCAAGTAAATTTTGTTGAAATTTTTTGTTTTTGAATACTAAAAACTATTGTAGATCTTTGACATTTTTTTCTGCTAACCAAATTAGGGAAAATATCTAGTTTGAAATAAAGTTTTTCCAATTTTCAGGCTTTTGTTATAGGGTTAAGGGTTAAAGGAAAAAAAGATCTGGCAACAATGCCTGAGGCGTGCGCGTCCGTCGTCGTTCGTCGTTCTTTCGACTTTCCGTCCCCGTTCGGTTGTACCACGCCACCACGGCCATTTCTATTTTCTTCGTTTCCTCAATTACAATTTTTAATTTAAGTGCAATAATCGCATTATTCGCATTCACGCTAAGTATCCATAATCTCCAGTATATTGAAAAATTCAAGTGAAAAGCCCTGTACTCTTTCTTTCACTGGTTACGGACAGGAATTTTGCCTGGCTGGGCTGGCGTCACTTTCTCTGTCCGCCATTATTGTCGTAGCTAGCTGAGCGTCATTGTGCATTTTCATTTTTTGTTCAACGGGAGTCGGGAGTGAGTGGAGTGTTTTGTTTTTTTTTGGTAAGTTTTAAACTATTACTACTAGATACTTGAATTTTGAATTATCCCTTATTGTCTAATTACAATCTTTGGCACTGCGGCACAGCCGAAACCATCAAAATTTCAAAACTAAGCTCAAAACCCGTTTACGATTTAGATAAATTTATTCTGGGAATGTAAAAATTTTGTGGCTATTTTGAACTTATTGTGGGTTTATCGTTTATCAAACAAATAGAATTAGATTGCATCGTGGGTGGCTAGATCAATCGCTTGTTAAGGCTTGTAAGTTAACAAGAACCTTAGAATGGGCCACACAGAAACAATGTCATATTGACATTGCACATTCTAAGGTTTTTGTTTACTTAACAAGCCTTAACAAGCGATTGATCTAGCCACACTAATTAGATACGTCCAGAGCCAAAATTTGAATATACCTAGACTTTGCCTATGGGTTGGGTTTGGATACGATACAACAGTTCAGGGCTTGCCTCGGGGCTTACTAAGAAAATTGATACCACAATAATTATTGCTTATATTTCCAAGTTGTTCCCATATCATCACAAAAGATAGTTTTTTAATAGGTAGGTACCTACCATTGCCAAAAATACAACTTCATCAACCAGTTAGATCAAAATTTGGATAATGAATTTATTGATCTATTTCCCTTGGACATTGAAAAACTTAATAGCCTTGAAAATCGTTTGAATAACGAAATTGAAATGAAGAAAATGGTGAGCCTTATTAATTTATATTAATTTATGTTGATAAATGTATTATTTCTGATATTTTAGATAAAGTATTTAAGTCGAGTTGGAGGCAGTGATGTACCTGAAATTGTAAAACGATTGATGTATAAATTGTTAACAAATGAAGTTGGAAATTTATTCAGTTGGGATGGAGCCAAAGGAAAGAGAAAATTCAAATGTTTAAAGTTAGCCAATGTCATTTTAGGTATGCCAATGTGTAAGAATATATGTAATATGTCTGGTAATACTAAATATTATTTCGTTTCTAGATACTGTGCGAGCTAACAATCACACTAAAAATGCCACAGAAGCCGATATTATTGTCTACATAAAAAAATGGTTGGTGCGATCAAAGGATCGCATGCATCTGGAAGATAAGCGAAGAAGGTTAGTTTTGAAAATATTGTTGCCTAGTATTGTTCATATGTTGTTGAGCCCTTAAATGAGAAAATATATTCATTTATTTTCTTAGATGAAATTTTCTTCAGTTTATTTATTTTTAGACGGAATGAAAATCAGGAAGAAGAGGACGGAAATCAGGAAGAAGAGGACGGAAATGATACTATGTAAATTCGCATAGCATAAATCTTTAGTTTATTATTATACATCAAATTCTAAAGTTCATTATTATGTAATTGGGTTTTTTTATAATATTGATAATGATTATTTTGCTTACTCTGTCCAGTTGCTGGAAGACAAATTAGCATGGATGCAATTCGAGCCAGAAAAATCATGATTTCAGGTAGTGCCTGAATTGCATGAATGCAGATTTGTCAGAAAGTAAACCGAACATTGTTTTTCTCATGAATGAATCTTTCTTTTGTAAAATGTAAAAAAAACAAATAAATGGTCTCAAAAAAATGTTCGTTATAATTTCTTCCTCTCATTACGTTTTTTACAAGTAAGTATGTATCTGAGAAAGGGACTATCAAATGCCTGATAATTTTAAGACCATTTTTTTTTCAGTTGCGCTGGCTGGTAAGAAGTACAGGTAAGAAAGCAACGTGCTTTTGATTGTCATAAAATTATCCCGAGCATGTAATGTCCTAGGGATAATATATCTGACAACGACCACAAAAGCGGAGGTTTCCTGGGACTGTCGGTCAGCGGAATTCGGTTCAGATAGAATGTGTATGACTAAATTACAGTTTAATTTGTTCCATACGCATTCTATCTGAACCAAAATCCGCCACGGACAGTCATGGGAAGCCGCAGCTAAAAAAAACGAATTCAAGAAAAGAATATTCATTGCATAAACGCGTTTAATATATAATGGAGGTATAATGTATATAAAAGACATAAGGCGAATATCCATCAAATCTAGGCTAGTATATGCCCCCAATATACACGAATATCCAGGATATGCGATGTATATACCTTATGTACATACTATGTATAATGTATTTTGTGACAAATATATATCCGTAAAACATGAAATGAATATACTTGACATTAAAAATGGAGATTCTGTGTATATGCACAGGTTTATTGTGAATATACATAAAATCTGCATCAAATAAACTTTTGCTATGTGGGTATTGCGGTGACAAGCCGGTGACGTTTATAAGGAGAGCATTTGTGTTCTAGCCCTTGTTGCTTTCGAAGTGAATTTTATGTGTTTCGACGTATTTTTCATTGGTTTTGGTCATGTTGTTTTCATAGTGAATTTTATAGTTTTTGGTATTTCTACGTATTTTTTAGTGTTCTGGACCTTGTTTTCAAAGTGAATTTCATAGTGTTTATAGTGTTTCTACGTATTTTTTAATTTAATAATAAATTCTGAGATGGAGAGTGAATATCTTAAGGTATTATTGTTAAAGGAAAATCGAGCCTCTGTTAGATCCTTATTTTTAATTGCAGTAATCCATAAAGCCCTGCGTTGTTTTGATAATCCATTTGTGTAGATCTAAAGCCGATGATTTCACATTATCCCTGTTACCTCGACTTCCACACCCAATTACGATGCAAATCACTGGTATTTTACACAAAATCCGATAATTCAAATCTTGACGTTTGTCCAGAATGTGACAGAATCAATGACATACAGAATAAACAACACAGTGCTTGACCTGAACTTCCATATTGAATTTCGTTGTTGACAGGTCAGTAGATTGCCTAATAGATCACTGAAAAAAAGTAATGAATTTCACACATCTGTCACACAAAAATTTAAGGATATTCCCACAAAATATTCTGTAAAACAGCATATCAAGCGATGTATTATTCAATCAGGATTTTTTTGGGGTAATCTGTGCCAATCATGGTAGAACTTCCATGCCCATCTGAATGGGGATGGACTCTTGAAAACAATAAATGGACGCCACTATGAAACACTACGAAACATGAGAAAATATCATCCGACATTTTATTAAAATGTAAATGCTAAACTTGTGGCCCAAAATGCAAATGCTTTTTGAAAATTTTTAAATGCATCAGTCTGTGCTTGTGTGCAGAATATTGCAATTTAAGGTGTAAACACGTAAGAGGTTACATTAGCTTTTCTGTGAAGACGTTTTGAGTTGTTAAAATTGTTAAAAAATTTACTTACACTGTATTTTTTCTCAAGATAGATTTTGACACTGTCAACTTTGAGACATAAACAATGCCGCTTATTGGTCGCAACATGTCAGTCGCACGACATGCATTGTAAAACTGTATCTCCATCTTGGAAAAAAATACACTTTAGGTATTTACTTTTATTATCTAATCTAGTATCTAATATGCTCCTGATTTTATCAAAATGTTGTTTACCTGCATATAAATACAATAATACTATATATTATGATATAATTGTATAAGAGGACCTTTAAAGCACGCGCAACATATTGTAAAACACGACGCGCAGCGGAGTGTTTTGTAAGTCGCAAGGGCCTTAAAAGCTCTTACACACGCATATCATACGTTATTTTTTATTACAAATGTATGATAATCTCAAAAATATTTCAAATGTGTTCATTTATTTTGATAAATAGTAATTTAAACAGCAGCTGGTAAATATCTAGGTGATAAAGGTAGATCAAACGTTTCTATAGCAAACCTTTGAAAAGGTAGACGCATCATAAACATCATTTTATGCACGCTGCAGCGTGCGATAATCGTTGATTATGATGCATGCGTGATAAAAAATAAATAAATTAGTTTAAAAGCATATATATACCTAACCAAAAATATTTATTTTTAATCATTTCCTCTTACTCCACTACTTTTTTGTACGCCACTGGTGGCTTTATTTTGAAAGATACGAAAAAACATTATGAATCAATCGATAGAGAAAACTTTATTCTTAATTTTTTGTATCTTCTATTTTTTTTTTTGTTTTCAAGCGGTTTTAGTGATATTGATCAACACGTGTCTTTGTGATTGCCTCCCACCACATGTTTGTTCACGTGGGGCCATACCTTGCAAACATAAACAAAAATAAGGTCATAGTCATTATGCAGAATTTTGTGCTCTATCGAATGGCACCAAAATGACGTTTCTATCTTTTACCGTTTTTGAGAAAAATAATAATAGGCCTGTTCGCACAGAAATCACCAACCAGTCAGAGCGAATTTCATTGGTTGAAACTAGTTTTCTGACTGTTTCCAACCAATGAAAATCGCTCTGACTGGTTTGTGATTGCTGTGCGAACAGGCCTATTAACTAAAACAATCCACTTATCAAGTTTGAGGGGGGTGGAGGGGGGGGGGGGTCGGCATGACTTTTTGAGGTGGGTCTGTTCAAAAATCTACTAATTCTGACATGTTCTTTCACTTGTGAAAAGGATTTGCTTTTACTCAAAAACCGAAGTATCAAGCTATTTTTCGGCGACAAGTCACTATACTATTTGAGTTGTTAAAATTGTTAAAAAATTTACTTACACTGTTTTCTTTCCTAAGATAGATTTAGAAACTGTCAACTTTGAAACATAAACAATGCAGCTTATTGGTCGCAACATGCCATTCGCACGACATGCATTGTAAAACTGTATCTTTGAAAAAAATACACTTTAGGTATTTACTTTTATCATCTTCTAATACGCTTCTGATTTTTTCAAAATGTTGTTTACCTGTATATAAATACAATAAAATAAATAAATTAGTTTAAAAGGATATAACCAAAAATATTTATTTTTAATCATTCCTCTTACTCCACTACTTTTTTGTACGCCACTGGTGGCTTTATTTTGAAAGATAAGAAAAAACATTATACATCAATCGATAGAGAAAACTTTATTCTTAAATTTTTGTATCTTCTATTTTTTTTTGTTTTCAAGCGGTTTTAATGATATTGATCAACACGTGTCTTTGTGTTTACCCCCCACCACATTTTTGTACACGTGGGGCCTTACTTTGAAAACATAAACAAAAATAAGGTCATAGTCATTATGCAGAATTTTGTGCTCTATCAAATGGCACCAAAATGACGTTTCTATCTTTTACCGTTTTTGAGAAAAATAATACTTAATAACTAAAACAATCCACTTATCAAGTTTGAGGGGGGTGGAGGGGGGGTCGGCATGACTTTTTGAGATGGGTCTGTTCAAAAATCTACTAATTCTGACATGTTCTTTCACCTAAGAAAAGGATTTGCTTTTACTCAAAAACCGAAGTATGAAACCCTCAAGTCACTAGGCTACATGGATTACTTCAGTAAATGGCCAGAAAATTTCGCTATTCCTAATCAAGAAGCCATGACTATTGCTCAGATGCTAGTGGACGAAGTTTTTAGTCGCCATAGTGTGCCACTAAAGTTACATTCAGATCAGGGACGAAACTTATTCGATTCTGCCATCTTTAAGAAAATTTGTAAGATCATGGGAATTCGTAAGACAAGGACAACACCTTTACATCCACAGTCATATGCATGGTAGAACGTTTGATAAGACCATAGAGGAACACCTGACAAAAGTAGTCGCAAGGAACCAGCGAGATTCAGACAAACATTTGCCTCTATTTTTAATGGCTTACAGAGCAGCTGTTCACGAGTCAACAGGTGAAAGTCAATCGTTTTTGGAAGGGAACTAGTTACCTTGCGATCTGATGTTTGGAATACCTGAAGAAGAACGAAAAAAAAAATTCGAAATTATGCCGACGAGTAAGGGCACGACTTCTATGGATAGGTACATGATTTTGCTCGGAAGCATATTCAGCTGGCCAGTGACAGAATGAGGACCTGGGCCGGTATTCTGGTTCTCGAAAACGCTCACCGCTTCTAGGTCGCTTGGCACTTCTTATGTAAATTCACATTAAAAGTGCCAAGCGACTAAAAAGCGGTGAGCGTTTTCGAGTACGAGAATACCGGCCCAGATACGACTTGAGCCAATTCTGCCAGATTTCATAGAAGTGATTTACTGTGGATGTATAATCCAACAAGAAAGAAAGGAGTGTCGCCGAAATTGTCTTCAGCATGGGAAGGACCCTAGAGAATAATCAAAAGGGTCAATGAGTTGGTTTATCGAGTTCAGCGCAACACCACGAGTAAGATGAAAGTTGTACATCTAGGCACATTGACCAAATATCATGAGCGTGAAGCTGATCGGGATCTCAAGAGAAGGGTATAGTGTAATGAAGTTTACGTGCGCCTCCACCAGGGCACACAGAATCGGATAGCTGAATTCTAGATATTACAGTGCTATTCGGGAAAAAGGGCTATCGCGTTTTTTCTTGATTTTACAAGAATGGATTACGGATATATAAAGGCCGGTATAAGTTAGTAGTGTTTAGTTTAATATTGGCTGTGCTGTGATATGATTTAGATAGTGAATAATGTAAAGAGTTCAGTTGTTTGAGTTAATTAGTGAAGTAATTAATGTCAGAGTATGTAGTAACGTGGAATAAATTATTGTTGTGTTAATTGGACTTTGATTTTGGAATAAACGGATCCAAGATTTCTGTCACGCACCCCAGAGCTGTGACAATATAAATCTTGCAAAATTAAATGTTGAAATTCCCCAAATTCAAAATTTGAAAGAGAGAGCAGTTAAAATTGTGTGTTAGGAAGAATTCACACTAAAGCAAAAGGATTATAAGGAGAAAGAAATAAAAAAAAAAAATGGAAGAGACTAGAGACAAATAAACATCTTGATAATAGCAATTGTAAGGTAAGAGCAAATAAATTAGAAAACCCAAAAATACAAATTGTAGGTATCGAGGAATAAATGACTGAAAGTGAATTATTGATAACGAGTATTTTGAAAAAATAGTTATTTGTATACCCAGGCCGCGAAATGCCTTTTTAGCGTACGCGGAGAAAAGTTATCCGGGCAAGTTAATCTCGAGGACGTTGAAAAGTTTCGCGGTCAAGGTATGCACACTATTTTTGGTGCAACTATAAAAATTATGTAAAGTCTGTTTTTTTTTAAAAGATAAAAGTCAAAATGACAAAATGTTGGCAATACAATGTAAAATTGTCAATGCTTTCAAATTTTTTATATAGAAAAGGCTTGTGTTGCCAACATAGTTACTAGATTTTTGACTTGGGGAATTATCTTAAAAAAAAAACAGACTTTATAGTTACAGAAAAACTGTATAGATTTGACAAATATTGCACGTCAGGTGTGGCGGCCGCGAAAGCTCATTTCGCGGACGATTGCACAAAAAGCATATTTTGCTAATTAAACGGTTTTATTATTGGAAACTCCTATTGGTCCGAAAAGAATAAATAAAATGAGCGGATCAAAATAAGATATTCCACAAGTAGTAAAATAATGTAGCGTGTTTTCGAACGTGTCCCTATTGAACTGGCAGGTCAGCCGTCAGTCAGAGTCAGCTGGACAATAACAAAAAAATTAATTAAAAATAAGAAAATACTAATAGAATGAAATTCATATCCAATGACCCAGAGAAGAAGAAATAAATAATTGAGAGGGAATTCAAAGATTAGTTAAAACAAAAGTAAATTCAACGGGTTGCCCATTGAACGATAAGAAACCGGTAAAGTTTAATCAAATGTTGGATTCATCTCCTGAAGACGAGGATTTTCCTGGAAGATTATTACACCAAGTAATTATTACTATTTTAATGCTCATTATCATTATTTGTTTAATTCTGGAGTACCAGATTGTGCATTTACGGGAATTCGAATTTAGTCCTACACTTTATGTATACTTATTTGCGCTTCAATTGGCAATCACAGTTTTATTTTGCATAGGTATTTACTTGGGTATTGGTTTACTTCAGGAACGCTTCAGGTGACTTGAAAACAGTCCCTTATAGCTAGAAACCAGCGGATCAGAGACCTCAGAGAACTTCAATTTCATTGATAATCTTTGAAACATTACTAAGAGAGAGCTCTTTGTTCAAATTAAATAGTTTTTCTTCGTTCCCAGGCCATTTTTTCAAAATGTAAGAACTTTCTCACGGGTTAATACGATATGGAATGACCATTTATTTAGCACTTAGCTAGTAGCATATACCTATATGTACTTACTTAATATACAAATAAATAGTAATAAAATGATATTAATATATCTATAAACATCTCATAAGGCAAGGCAACGGTGGTGGTCCAGTGGCTTAACGCGCTGGACTACATTGGAAACATTGATGGTAGACCGGGTTCGAATCCTGGCTAGACCGAAAATTATTTTCGGTCGCACATTTAGTGGCTGCCTAGGGTAAAGTGCAAATTAATAGAACAACAACAACAAAAACACCTTAAGGTATTATAAGCGGGCGTTATAGATCATAACGCCCGCAAAAGCGGGCGTTATGGATCAGGTTGTTATAGGTGTGTTAACGTATTTCGTTTCCTAGGTATTATGGATCTATAATAGTAAAGTAGAAATAGTTATTTATGTATCAAGGGAATTATGCAGGTGTTAATACCCCAGGGCAACGTTTGTGTCCCGAGGGCCTCCGGCCCGAGGGACACCAATTGCCCGTGGGTATTAACTCCTGATAATTCCCGTGGTACATAGATAATTTTATATCCTACTGAATTTACTGTATTCTGTCTATTTTTATAAAGGAATAAGCCATAATATATATATAAATTTATATCCTACTGAACTATTAAAACCATATAATACCTTGGTTACGATAATCATAAACAGGGTCTTAACTCCCAAGGGAGTTAAGGATTTTCATAACTCCCAAGGGAGTTAAGGAAGGGAGTTAAGGATATCATAACTCCCAAGGGAGTTAAGGATTTCCATAACTCCCGCTTTTACCTTGAATAGGTAACACTTTGACAAAAAATAGAAATTTTGATTTATGGCTTATTCCTTTATAAAAATAGACAGAATACAGTAAATTCAGTAGGATATAAAATTATCTATGTACCACGGGAATTATCCGGAGTTAATACCCACGGGCAATTGGTGTCCCTCGGGCCGGAGGCCCTCGGGACATAAACGTTGCCCTGGGGTATTAACACCTGCATAATTCCCTTGATACATAAATAACTATTATTTCGTTTCTATGTACAGGTCGCAGGTACAGGTACAGGTCAGAGGTACAGGTACATGTTAAAATACAAAACAATATTCTGTCACACAAGTTTAAAGTTTAACTGATTTTGTTAATAATAAATTGATGAAAAAACATTGTGTTGAGTAGAAAATAAAGCATTGTATGCACCACGGGGATTTTAAGATTATAATACCCTTCAGGCGAAATATATCCCTCGGGCCATAGGCCCTCGGGCTAGTTTCGCCTTCGGGCATTATAATTTACATAATCCCCTTGGTACATAAATAGCTAAAATAACAGTCATGACAAAAATCATATCCAAAACAAAAAACCATCAAGGAATCAGTCTCAAATATCCACTCAAGATCCTATCAAACACGTGCACATTAGGTGCATTTTTAATTTCATTGGTCAGTGCATTAAAAAGGCAAACACCCTTGTAAAAAAGAGTCTTTTGCAATCCCACTGGCCATCCCATTCCTAGACCATCCAACATACAAAGAATAGAAGTATATCTATCACATCCCAGGAGTATTCTCATAGCTTTATTTTACGCTGTGTCTAGCCTCCCGGCACCGGTAGTCATAAGAATCCCGGTTACGATGCGTTTTCAATGACGTCCATCAACGACCGACGGGATTTATCGTGGCTCCCGGCTATTGGATTCAAAATTCGAAGTCGTGTTTCTCTTGCTGCTTGAGGCTGTAAATAATTCCGGAATAGCTTTTGTGTATTATTGTTTCTTGTTGTAATATTGGTATTTATTTATTTATTTACGGGAAAACCCCATTAACTGTTAAAATACAATTTAATAAAAAATATAAAGAATAAAGCATAAGTTAGGTACTATATTATAACTATAACTACATAAATAATAAATATTATTTAACTATAAAAATTAATACTACACAATAATATAAAACAAATCAAGTACAGCCATTGGTAATAGTATGTACTTCGCTAATCCACTTTTCGTAGTAGTGGTTTAAAAAGGAAATAGTATGGTTTATTTTCATTCATTATTCGGGACTATAGCTTTTTTAACACCCTGTATCTCTGAAATAGAGTACTTTCAGACCCATGTTTATAGAAACTTATGCTCTTCAGATGAATAATCCGCAGTTAAAATATTAACCTCTAATTTTGGGGAACCCTGTGTGATGTTGGTGAACAATAACGGCGTTGCTGTACAAGATCAAATGCTGAACAGACTTCCAAAATGCTGTAAAATTCAGCGAAATCACAGAATTACCTGCGGCGAAATGCTGTATGTATCATCTATATTAAATTTACAATGTTAAAAAAAAAATACCAAAATTTTCTAAAAATTTGATTGGTGTAAGCTGTGCATGAACAATTGATACCAAAAAGTTGTAGTGAAAATTTCATTTATTGTCAAATCTGACATTTCAACAATGAAATACTGGTTTTTTATTGTCAGTTTGGACCAATCAGAATACAATTACCTGATAATTTAGCTGCATCTAAAAAATAGCGATAATTTTAAAATTATCGATAATTTGCACATGTGCTAATTGCTGATAATTTTTTCTCAGGTATTTTTTCACCTTTTCTTTATATTTATGCCAAATGAATTTCAATATATTTTTCAAACGATCTGTTTGAAGGGTGCATTAAAACACGAATTTTTGGAAACATCTACCTATATTTGCAAAAATATTAAAAAGTGCTCTATACAATAATTAATTAATTGTTATTGAAATTATGACAATTAAAAACACAGTTTTCAAATTTAAATACTGCCTTCGAAGAATTATTTTCAGACATTACACTATTTGAAGTTGAAATCGTCTGCGCCGAACTGAGAACGGGGGAAGCATTACAATTTTGAATTTCATTATTGGCGGCGTTATGGTTTCCTCTCATTTTATGGATAATATCGTCATGAAAGCTCTGATCCAATTGTAAATAGGGTTTTATCGAATTAACGTTACCATGGCCAGTTATTTTTATTAATTGATTTTCGCCAACTCCAGATTTAGCCAAATGGGTTACGCTTGTAGCCCTATGTGAATGATTAGTAAATTTAAATTTTTCGCTATTTAGGCCGGCCTTTTCTGCTGCAGTTTTTGTCCATTTTGAAATTTCATTCCTGCCAGCTGGCATATTTTTATACCATGAGCCACTTTTTCTCCATTCTGGATTAGGTGTTAAGAAAAGTCTGTTGATCTTCACATTATTTCTTCTTTTGGAAATAAACAATTTGTACAACCTGGAAATAAATCATATTTGAATCAATAAGTTTACCTATTGAAGCACTTTTACTTACCTAATTGGGCATATGGCTTCATCGGCGTTGTTTCTGATAAGCCATTTACTGTCCGTTAGAAGGTGGCTACCACCTTGGCGTGTTTTCGAAAAAATTGGATTGTATTCAATCCTGTTTGTAGGTGTGCCATCGTGAAATTTTTCCATTTTAAAAAAATCAGTTGTGCAATTTGGAGCTTCGCCACCTCTAAAAGCCAGTTCAAATGATAAAACGTGGAACAACTTTTTTTGAAGCCCGTCGGGAGTATTTTCATCAAAAAGTTTGAGAATACTCAAATATTCTTCGGACGTAAAAGCTGAGGAACTTGTTTTTCTTTTGCTTGGATCACCCTGCAATTCTCGCCGTACGGCATCCCTGGCGTCTCTTGCTGCTTTGAATGTAATATTTGTGAATGGATCGAGGTTGACACCATATTCGCTATACTTCTGCTGAAGTAATTTGGCGGTCACATTCCACATAGTCTTGACTACGCTCTCTTTGTAAAACGAACCATCTTTTCTTCTCATATTACTTGCCCAATCCTTTAAAATATTAGCTAAAGTTTCTGGTGTTGTCTGGGCTTCTAATACGTATTTTTTCTCAGAGCAAAATTCTTCGAATTGTTTCCATATTGAATTTTTCGATTTTTTTGTGTTTTCAGGAGTTAGGTCTTCAATGGATTTGTCAATTTCTTGCATGGAAGCGTTACCAAATCGCGACATTTTTCTTAAATGTTGAGACACGAAATAAACTTGTTTATTATCACAAATGCCAATTGTTAAATCACCATAGAAATTGTTTAAAAAGGTAATAACTAGTAACTAGACCAAAAATAAAAATAGAGAAACACCTTCAATTTCATTTGACAAATTTTATGTGACAGTGACAAATTTTTTTCTTATACAGGACAAGTTGAAAATTCATGAAATTTTCTGATAAAATATAACTCGTGCATTAAAAATGCATCGATAATTTTCGACAAATCTTCACTCATGCATGTTAAACTGAAAAACGCACTCGTGCACTCCGTGCACTCGTGCTTTTTTCAACTTAACGTGCATTCGTGCATATTTCCCAAAAATTATCGCTAATTTTTAATGCACTTGTTATATTACTACTGATTATTTCAGAAGTTATACTTATGTTCGAATTATATCTATGTATTCTATGTACAGGGTGCTGCAATTTGGAGTGTTTTAACAAGAAAAACATACTTCTAGACCAGATAGAGGAAAATTGACTTAGGTGTCATGGGATTAATTTTCGAGAAACGTCGATTGCCAAAAACCGTATCACGATATCTTCAATGGTACCATCGATACAGGGTGATTTTCGATTTTCCCCTATTATGAAAAATAGCTAAAAGTTTTTCATTTATCAATTTTTTTTATTTCTGTAAAAACATTATGGAGACACTTTTTCGAGCACAATCCAGTGGCGGACTCAGTTTTTTTCTATATCGCTCTGATTTCGAGATATCGACCAAAGTTCGATATATTCAAATGAAATACCCTATATATTAAAAGCTCATTGGATAGCTTTGTTTTTGCTGATTTCAATGATATAAAGTTCGATAGGTTTATCTCTAACAGTTTTCCAGAAAAAAAATTATATCTGTTTTTGTCGTAAAGATCAATGTGTTAGAAAAGGATTTTATATGTGTAAGGAAAATGAGGAAGGTCTCTTTCTAACAAATTGTTTCTTATGACAAAAACAGATATAATTTTTTTTCTCGAAAACTGTTAGAGATAAACCTATCGAACTTTATATCATTGAAATCAGCAAAAACAAAGCTATCCAATGATCTATTAATATATAGGGTATTTCATTTGAAAATTTCGGACTCTGGTCGATATCTCGAAATCGGAGCGATATAGAAAAAAACTGAGTCCGCCACTGGATTGTGCTCAAAAAAGTGTCTCCATAATGTTTTTACAGATATAAAAAAAATTGATAAATAAAAATCTTATAGCTATTTTTCATAATAGGGGAAAATCGAAAATCGCCCTGTATCAGTGGTACCATTGAAGATATCGTGATACGGTTTTTGGCAATCGACGTTTCTCGAAAATTAATCCCATGACACCTAAGTCAATTTTCCTCTATCTGGTCTGGAAGTATGTTTTTCTTGTTAAAACACTCCAAATTGCAGCACCCTGTACATACATATAATAAAATTCATAATTTTATTTTGCCATAAATAAAAGCTTATCGCACCCGACTTCGTGTACTTTTTTTACCCTACATAATAATTCTGCCCCAATACCAATGAACATAATAATTATTAACATCTTGTATTGCAATAGCCGGGATCCACGACAGTTACCGGTGCTTGTTGATGACGTCATTGAAAACGCGTCATAACCGGGATTCATATGAATACCGGTGCCGGGAGGCTAGACACAGCGTTTATTTTACTGAATTTGAATGATATACAATATTTAAAATGAGGAAAGAGAATGGTGAGTGTTTTGGCCCATGAAGACGGTACTCAGATATTCGCCTGAAAACCCCGACTTTTCTCTTTATTTTCTTACAGAGGTTGTCCACATGCCTACAAAAAGCTAGCTGTGAATTCAAGTAGATTCATAAATATTTAATTTCATCTACCAACTTCACCGTTTCAGACTTCAATGTTAGTTTCAAACCTAACTCTCTAAATCTTCTACTATTTACTTTAGATCCTATTATCATACACTTGGTCTTAGAAGCATTTAATTTTAACTTATTTCTACACATCAAATTATACAATGTACTCAATTCATCATTCATAATATCAGCGATTTCATTTGTCCCCGATACAGACATAAGAGTCTCATCGGCAAAAAGACTTACATAAATAACAAATAAGAGGGGGCCCAACACACTACCTTGTGGGACACCCCAAACATCTAGGCTTTTTGCAGATACACTGTTATCTATTATAGTAATTTGAAACCAGTTTTGCAGATAGCCTCTAGCCCAACTTAGTGCCTTTTCTTTAAAACTATAAACCAAGCTATAAAGTAAGAATTTCTCTAGTAAAATGTCTCTATCAATCGTTTCTAAAGCTCGTTTAAGGTCCACAAAAACACTAATCACTATTTTGCCTTGGTTCATGTTCTTTCTCCATTTTCCAGCTACATATTGATTTGCGGTTTCACAAGAATGATGGCTTCTCAATGTGACTGTCCAACATATAATAACTTGCTGCTCCCAAATAATTTTTCAATTGCGAACATGCTGTGGTTTCTAAGATTTTATCCACTACTGGCAGCAAATTTATTGGTCGAAATTCACCAGAATTGAAGGTTTTATTACTTTTGGAATTGGCACAATCACACTCGTCATTAGGGAAATTACCGGTTTCAAATGAAGTATTTATCAAATTCACGAGCGGATAACCTATAACACAGAAAATGTCTTTAACACTAAGAAAATTGTAACTGGTACTTTTGTTTTTTAAACTACTATACAACTTTGCTGAGTTCCGCAAGTGTGATTCTCTTGAACGTTAAGAAAATAGGTATATATTTTTTTTCAAGTCTGCATTATGGGACAACACAGAATTACTCGAAGACCTCCTAGAAGGCGGTCAACAAGCCTTTTTAAATTCCCAAGACAGTTGGGGAAGGACTCCCATTCATGCCGCAGTCATAACTGAAAATTCGAAATGTTTGCAGCTGTTGTTAAACGCTGGTGCCGATCCGAATGTACAATGTGGACCCAGAGGTGAATACAAAGTGAGGAATTCTTTATATTACTAAATGGTAAATAAATTTTAATAAACCTCTGTTTTTAGTCACCATTGCATGTATGCGCAGAATATGGGCATTATAACAATATTCAAACTCTGTTACAACACAATGCAAATATTCAAATAAAGGATGGCAGTGGATTAACTCCGTTGAATGTAGCTGAAAAGTGCGGCCAGGCGAAATGTGTTGAGCAGATTAAAGAGGCTGCAGGTAAGACTCTTAACATTCTTCATAATTTTAGGCATTCATATCTCAAAGAGACTTTATATGAATAAAAAGAGAACAATAATGGGGAACTCAGAATCACAGTCTCGCAAATTATATGATTAATAAACAGGTTGCATATAATAAATAAATAGACCCTCACATGAATAGAATGGTGAAACTCGTAAAAATTTATCCTAGGTAAAAACTTAAAAAAAATAACAGCAGTGTACTTGCCTCTTGTGTCTCAGACAGTTTTGATGACTGCATGATTTAAGCTGTTCTACATGCTTATTTACCCAGAGAATCGTGGCAACATCTGCAAACAGTGTAAATACCACAGCTATATCAATGCTACACAGATCGCTGATTGATGTACAATAAAAACAAAAGAGGTCCCAAGACGGATCCCTGCGGAACTCCTGCACTTACAGCTAATTACTCTGAAACAACACCATCAAAAGTAACCTGTCTCCGTTCAGAAAAGTAGGACTCGAACCACTCTAGAACTAATCCCCTCACTCCATAAGCTTCTAATTTACACAACAATATTTTATGATTTACACAGTCAAAAGCGTTTGACAAATCACAAAAAACCGCGGCTGCCACATCACCATCATTTAATCCCAAATAAAGTTTCTCCAAAAATGCGAAAAATGCATCATTTGTGCCACATGACTCCTGAAATCCAAACTGTTCACAACAGAGAATACTATGTTTTTTTAGAAAACTCATCAAACACTAGCTTTTCTATTATTTTAGGCATTGTAGGTAACAAAGAAATTGGCCTAAAACTTGAGGGTGTATCGTAGTCACCGCCCTTATATAGAGGTGAGACATATTTGCGTTTCAAACATGAAGGGAAAACACCTGATTGAAAGGACTGATTCACAGCACCAGCAAACACCCCCAGAACTGTTTCAGGCAAATGCAAAAACACCCTCAGAGTAATCTCGTCCCATCCCGCAGAATTTTTATTTTTGATATCCTTCAAGGTGTCTCTGATTTCTTGTGTTGTAGTGGGTTTAAAGAAGAAGGACTCCTATGTGATTCAAATATTTTCTAGGGTCAGTCCCAGAACTAATTTTGCTACAAACAGAAGAAGCAATCGAACAATAAAATTTCTGGAATTATATTAATTCCAGTGGCAGTCAAATTTGAGTCCATTGATAAAGTATTCTTTTTTCCTTTTAAGTTATCAACAATTCTCCATGTTTCTTTTTGTTTGTTACCAGCCATAACTATCCTATTTCTAAAATATAATTGCTTAGCGGTCTTAGCTACTTGCCTATATATTTGACGATATTTGTTAAAAAAAAGCATAAAGCGTCATTCCCCAAATAAAACTTCCTAACATATAGCAAAGAACGCATATTTCTAGCTGATACTCTTATACCCCTTGTAATCCATAGTTTTTTACTCTTACACTTCCTAATTCTAAGCGAAAAAGACCTATGAAAAATGTTCAACAAAGCAGAATAAAATCCAGACAAAAAATCATCACATCTACTGGTCCAGTCTGTCTGCCGGCAGTTTCTCAACAATGTTCTCAACACACAATTGAGAATTCGAATTCCTTCTCAATTATTAAACTATTGTATCTATCTACATTAATTATTTCAAATACTTCAAACAATCTGTGCTTTACCATTATGAGTGTTCCACCATGCACTGCATCCGACCTACAAAACCTAGATATTAAACTATAGTGCTGCAAAAATATCGGTTCACTATCCTTATAGTCTGAGATAGCTCCCAAAGATGTCCACAGACACTTTGTCTTTTCACTATTGTCCATCATGTCCATCATGAAGGAAGTTATTTAATAACATCAGAAATGTTATTGATCTCTGTAAATCTGTACCGATAAGTTGTAAACTTTAAAGAGATTAATAAGTCAATGCTCTTTCCACTATTTTTGTTTAGAGCCGATAAAGCTCAATAGTTTCGTAATTTATCACGTTGACCCGCTTCATAAATTGAAATATTATCAGAGAAACTATAAAATGATTTGGTACAATACCATTCATAGACATTAAATTTATAATCTGCTTCAATGGCAGGATTAGTTGCGAATGTATAGTTTTAAGTAGGTTACTGGAAATTTCATCTATTGCATGGGCACTATTTGACTTCAAAGATGAAATGCATTCAATAAGTTCTTGGTCTGCTATAAGATAAGGTCTTAAGTACATAGAAGCTGTTCGTTAAAATTGATTGATAAGGTTGTACTGGAATCTATTAGTTTTTCTGGATAAATGTTGCAGAAATTAGCCATGCCATTATCAAATTCCTAGTTATGATCATTTAAAAGTAGCCTTTTGAAGGGTATTACTCGGGGTATTATCTGTTACTTTATTTACTATTTGAAATTTTTTTCTAATGGTTTTATCATGTATGTATAATATCACAAGAGAAAAAATTTTGTCGGCAAAATTTTCGAAAGGTATGAAAGTTTGTTGCAGGCGAGTGATTTTATCATAAATGTCATGAGCGAAATTGCCGAAGAGCAACAAACTTGAATAAAACCTTGAGAACAATTTTGCCTACATAATTTTTTCTCTAGTGGTATTCGACATGACTATTTCACGTAAGATTTTGAAAATAAATAGAATGCAAAAATATGAATAAAAACTTCAAATTAAAATTATCAGTTTGACAATGTCAAAAAATGGTCGCTGAAATACCATGTTGTTGGTATTGTCCAGGTAGCAGGGTTGGCATAGAATTTCCCCAGGTTATAAAACCCAGTGGGGTTTTTCGGGTTTTTTCAATTGATAAAACCCACCATTATTGGGTTTTTTGGGGTTTTTCAAAAATAGCAAATTTTCAGTTGAATAAGCGTCATTTTTACAGGTAATATCAGGAATTCTTCGATGATTTCCCAGTCCCTGGCTGTTCGCTGTTGGCGTGAAGGTTTGGGTAGGGACTCCGTGCCATGTAGAATTTGAAATTCGACATATCGAATGTGCCGAGATCATAGAATCCTGTCAATATGTAGAATTCTGCATGACACGGAGTCTCTGGACTGGCCAGCCAGAGACGTGGATGCCAAGTGTGATTATTTGTATCAAGTGGCTTTCTTTATTTTGTAAGGATATTTTATGCTTGCAACAAAAGTCATAATTTTTGTAATACTTTTGTTAGAGCAGAAACCGAGGCAGAAACTATAAATCAAATTTGAAGAAAAAAAACACAAACCCCCAGGAAGCCCGAAAAAACCCAAAAAAACCCAAAAAACCTATAAAAACCCAAAAAAACCCGATCGGTTGGACGTTTTCAAAAAAACCTGGGTTTTTTCCAACCCTGCCAGCAGCAATATTGTCAGCTGAATACCGAATTTATTGCCGGTATAATACACTCTAGTGAAATAGTCGGAGGTATTATTGCTCCTTATTCCTTTTTAAGGGTATTATCTCTATTTGAAATCTCCGAAATTTCCATAATAGTGTTCTAAGTCAAGGTCATCTTTTCCAATTAATCTCTTTCCTTTATAGAAGTTCTAAGTTTGCTAGCTATCCATTTATTACATTTTTTGTGCACGTCTCTTCCTGTTAGTTTTGTCAATACAGTCTTTTGAAAAAAATGTCTGTAACAGCGTCTGCACCATTAACTTTCAGGTTCATGAGGATCCGAAAACCCATTTACTCTGGAAATATTTAATTTTGTTCAATGTTCACAAAGTTTATACCATAGTTGATTAGATTTCAGAAGCGGTACATATTAATTTGTATTCTATTGACTGTGTTCTGCAACTTAATTAGATTTGTAAGTTTGTACTGGGTGATTGTCTATAATTTGCACCCACACCTATCTCACCTGTTTGAAGAGATACCCAAAAAATTTCAAAGGTGAAAGTTGTAGGTAATATCAGAATGTTTTCAATGAAGTTAGTTACAAGTATACAGGGTGTGTAACAAAAATGTGGCAAAGCAAAGTTAAACTTTTTTAAATGGAAAATCCCATATATTATTGACCCATTGGATTAGCCTCTCAATCCTGATTCCAAATATACTAGATTTTTTAGGTTTATTCCTAATAGTCCGTGAGGAAACAAGAAGAAAAGGGGTAAAATAAATGCATTTTATCATTTTTATTAAAAAAGGTGTAGTAATGAGACCACCAGCAAAATATAAAGGTAATCATGCAAGTAAAAAATCCATATTATTTCTTCAAAATGAGATATTCAGAGGCTGGACTATGACGAATTAGACCTAAAAACCTAGTTTATTCGGAATCAGGTTTGAAAGGCTAATCCAATAGGTCAATAATACAGAGTGGCAAAAAAGTCGCGCATAATACCTGTAACTTTTCAATTACCTCGTATACGAAAATATGACTTTGATGAAAGTTGCTCAGTAAATTATTTCCCACATTTCTACCTAGACGAATTGTTTCTGTCACTTCTGGTTTGTTTGCAATCCACACGAACATTGTTTTTTCAAATGAAACACCCTGTATGTGTTTGCATATTTGGATTCTAAGTAAAATTCTAAGCAAATTTCATGTGATATACTGTATAGGTACCCAAGTTCAACTGTTTTGACAATATTGACAGTGGAAAAATAACTTTTTCGCAACTTTGATAGGCTGCAAAACCTAAACGGTGAATTTTAGAGGAAAATCGATCTTACATTCTCAGATTTTCATAAACTATCATTTGACACCAACTTTGAATTTATTCCATGATTGAAAATTCCAATTAAATTTAATCTCTCGTACCTCGTACCGTTTCCTTTTTTCTATTGAGATCTCACCATCTGTCTTGCCAAGCATCTGTCTGATTTATTCACTGTTTTTATAATTATTGTTTTATTTAAATTGTAATCATAATTCCAATTGTCTCCTTGAAATTGAAACATCTTTATTAAATATTTATCAATTAAATCTCCCTAAAATATGATACTCGGAAACCGGTTGTAGTTGACTCGGCTGGATTTTGGCATAAGTCGCTTTTTAGATTAGTTTAGTTTTTGATGAGACAGTTCCTGATAAATGCCTTTAAG